TCTTTTCTCATTTGTTTGTTGTTGTTTTTTACTTTGCGCAGAGCTACACAAGGGCTATCTGCGCTAGACATCCTTAATTCAGCAGTATAAGACTAGAGGGAAGGCAGCTAGTCATCACCATCAACTCTTTTACCAACGAATAGTGGGAATGACCGTGACATATAACGCCCCCACGGCTGAAAGGGCGAGCATGTTTGGTAAGACGGGGATTCGAACCCACGACCCTCAGATTGCGAGTCGAGCACCCTAACCATCTGGCCATGCCAGGTCTTTTTCTCATTTATCGGTGTTGCAATGCACCTTCTCTCATTCAATCATGTGTAAATAAATGTTTCTTTACGGGAAATCTATATTGATGTTACTGTGCATACTCCCTTTCACCTCATGCAACCGTGTATCTTGCTAAGTACTCTAATAATTTAACGTGCTGTTATAAAAAAAAAAATGTACGGTTTTCTGATTTGCATATACGATTTGTTTTCCTTCTTCTTGTCTCAGACATAAAAAAAAAAGTGTTAAAAGACTTCCGAGTGTGTAAACACTAAAGTTATCAACCGACATATCTGTGATAACAAGATTATCTCTCCTACTATGCCTATCGCACTGGAATGTGTTCATTATCACAAAATAAACTCATTTCGCAAGTCTTTTTTTTTTTGTTGTTGTTGTTGTTGAAATATCTTTAAAGAAAAAAAAACGAATGCCAGTAGAATTTCAATGCCTCACTTTTCTCACTTAAGGACATCTACAATTGTAAGTACAACTGAGAAGCAGAAACGTTAAAAACAGCGTTTCATATTGTTCACCTAACATCATTTGATTTACCTACACTCAAAACAAATCCTAGATTCAAACATTGACTTTATTTTCAGAAAAGTACGAATGGAAAAACGTAAGAGATTAGAATGAGTATATACGTGACCCCACTATCACATTTTTGAATATATAAACCAACTGTTGACTATATTTGTTAAATGAAGTGGCCACGTGGTTCTAAGATTTTATAATCTTGGCTTTTAACATTACTTGTTTCATCAGTAAAACTGTTGATAAGTGAACACTGGGGGATCGTTCTATAATCAGATTATAAACGATTTCGATGGTTTTCGGATGTAACTGAATTTTTACTGTAACTGAATAGAAATACTGGAATACTTCCTTTATGTAAACCATTCATTATTTGACAAGTCTGTGTGTGTGTCTTAACTGACAAAAGCTGGATCGATTGTTACCAAACCAGACATGCAACTTTTGAGCCCGTAGAAAGTGATATGAAAGAGGAGTCGACGTTCAATTTTGACCCCCCCCCCCCAAGGCGTTGAACCGGTACTCCAGCTGCTTCAGTTAAATTTACTACATGTAGTAAGAATAATCAGTCCGTATAGTAATCTGTATTAACTCTTACAGTACATATAAAACGATCTTCACACTGGTTTCAATACTTGAACGTTTATTTGAACACAAGGCTAGGTAACATACTGCTTTATGTATACACATACTGAATACAAAACGACTAGATTTCAGATTCTGACGTGGCTTCAGCGTTTGTGAACCTCAAACATTTATCATCTCCATGTGTCAAAACCTTATTCAGCCGAAATAACTATAAATATTAGATCACATTTTAATATATCTGCGTAGGTAACTTCTTTAAGAGCAAGCTTTCTAGCTGGCCAAAATACAAAAACGTGAACATTGTATTTAAGTACATCAATAAGCCTCCAATTGAGTATAACAGTAACTGCAAAAAATGTCCAAGATCTCAAACTAGACATTTCTGGTTTACAAAATCGAGTAAAAGCTGTCTAAGAATGAAAGTTATTTTTTATATTGTTATCAATGAAATGAAACACTTGAAATAAAATTGTACAAAAGCAAGATAAAAAATTATTACCTTTGCAATTTAAAACCTTTGAAACGGGGTAAATATTTGTTATACCAAAATTGATTTTAAAGTATAAAAAAAAACATTTTGTAGTTCCCATCAGTACACTTATCATTATGTTAGTAATCGTTGTTTGTCAGCTTACTACTACATTAACTAGAATATGATATTCCAAGTTAAAAATCTGTTAATCATATAGGCATATCTTTTTTTATGTCTCAATTACACCAGTAGTTTTCTTAAAACATGCATGATAATACATTTGTATTTCCTTGTTTTCATCAACTTGATTCACCTACTTTTAGCTCCTGTCTTGTAGAATATTGCAACCATATTTTTTCTAAGCTCTCCATTAGTTTAAGAGTAACATTTGAGAAATTAAAAGTATTAAGATATTCTGTGAAGTTGTATTTAAGCTTAATTAAAAATTCAACTTTGTTGATAAATATATTTCACAGAATGCTCAAATTTTTCTTTGGCACAAACCTCAGCACAAATACATTAATGTAAGTCCTCATTTAAAATAATTTATCTCCGAGTTATTTCAGGAGGTCTTATATTTAAAATACACGTAAAACATATTTGTATGTAATTTATTTTAGTCTGATTTGTAAATGGAAGTAAAATTTTGAGTTATTATCTACAAAAAATTCATAGAATATAAGAATTCTTTATTCACCTCTTTCTATGTATTATTCCATTACTAATAGGTTGCTGCTTCTCTACTGTGAGAAAGTAAAAACTCTAGGCTGAAAGTTTGAACTTTTTTTTTTCAATTTATAAACAATATTTTGATTTTATGACTAACAACATAGATTACTGGTTAAGACAAATTAGTATTTGATCAGTCAAGTACTTGCAGTTAGTAGTTCAATCTGAAGACTAGCTACAAAACTCATTCCTTTCTGTGTTGGATAAAACCAAAATCTACTACTACATTCAAATACTGAACACTGAAATGACTTACATCAAAAATGTACACAAACTTTAACAATTTTGAAAATCTTTCATTTGAAACTAAAACTTCCATGTAATCAACATTAACTTTTGATCAAAGCAAATTAACTATATAAATAAAACTAAAAATCACCCCACTAATGAATAAAGCTAATTTAGTGTGCTTTTCTTACATAGTTACTTATAAACCTGGATGGTTAACTCAATTATCTATAAGCTATACTATGGAAAGTAACTGAAATTATGATCAAATTTATTAAAGTCCCAAAATAAATAAAATCGGTTTCTGATTATCACTAATTTCTCGTTATTATTCTAAATCATTTCAAGATTGTTCAGCTACTCACAAAAATAATCAACTATTTGAAATTAGTGTTTCTAATTATTTTAACTATCCAAGTCTCATGTGTGAATAATCAAGTGGTTGAAATTAGTGTTTCAAACCTCTTGATTATTCACACATGAGACTTGGATAGTTAAAATAATTTGAAATTAGTGTTTCTAATTATTTTAACTAT